ATAATGCTAATAAATCTGAATATGTTTGCCCTCTCGAGTGATTATGTCATTACCGTTGATGATAGTACCCTCTAAAAGTAACCATTCTGTCAAAATTTTGAATATTGAAAGTGGAAAGATGAATTGGCCATCGGCTTAAAAACTGGATGGTTCAATTTTTATAGGAATTCTGATAGCCAACTATTCATGCGTCTACGAAAAAGTCAATAATTTAATTCTAAAACTTTAAGTGAAGTTCACTTTGTAACTATTCCGTAATTATTTTGTCTACAAATATTCTAAATAAATACTTAAAAGAGAGTCAATATGTTTAGAAAGTAATTATGAACAGATACTACATTGTAATAGAGTCAATAATACTTTAAAAAAAAATAAACACTTGATCTATCCATGACTTAGATGAAGTGGAAGTAGGGGTGGAAATAGGCCGAGTCGACCCGAGCTTTGAAAAATTAGGCCTGAGCCTGTTACGAAAATCTAAAGCTTAGGCCTGAGCCTGTATGTAGGCTTTTTGTTAGGCTCAAAAGCCTAGGCCTGAGCCTGTATGTAGGCTTTTTGTTAGGCTCAAGCCTGAGCCTGCAATTAGCCTGGCCTGAAGCCTTATTAAAAACCTGTTTAATATTTAGGTCATTAAAAAAAAATGCTTCAAAGTAAGTCCTACCTTGAGCCTATTAAAGCCTACATGTTAAGACTTTTTAAAAACTTTATTATATCTAAATAATATAAGAAATGTATCTAATACAAAACTAATACATAATTACATAAGTATATCACCACAATGCAAACATAATAGCAAATACATATAAAATAAAATAAAACAAGTCACGACTTTAGCATGCTCGTTAACTTGTTTAGAAATAAATTCAATTGTATTATTGTTTGTTATCCTATATAGTATTATAAATAACTAGTATTTTCACCTGTGCGATGCACGGAATGGAATTGTTGTAATATATTAAGAATATTTAAATCGATATATAATTATTTAAGAGTTAATTTCACCAGAGGTCGTTTATCTTTCCTGACAATTTCAAATTTAATCCTAGACTATAGTTATTAATTATTACAATTTATTCTATGTTACAACTCTTACGTTAATATTCTTACTATTATTATTAACACTTAATTACTTTTAGATATTATTATTACCACTTATATTATTATTATTATATTATTATTATTAGTTTCTTTTCAAGTAATGTTAGTATATAATGGTCGTGAGGCACAATAATAATATAACTATAATTAAATATTCTTGTATTGTATTCCGGAGTTAATGTCATTTTTGGTCCTAGACTTATTGAGGCATTGACACTTTTCATCCTCCATAATAAAACTTGCCACTTAGTAGACATTGTTATTGGTCGTTGGACAGTTTTGATCCTCCGTCAATGAAGCCGTTTGTTGACCGTGAATTAGAAGGGCTTTTCTATCTTTTTATGTCTTATTCTTCTAATCTTGTTTAGACCAGCGCTGCTGTGACTCCTGTGAGGCGAGATGGCGAGACTTGGCGGCTAAGTAGTAACCATCGGTAGTGAGTAGCAGCGAGGTTCTTCTCCGGCGAGTTGTGGGTACGGCGGCGAGCATACGAGGCAGTAACTCCTTTAGGCGACGGACCAGTAAGGCAGATCTGGCGGTGCAGAAACAGATCCGGCGAGGTTGGGGCCTTCACCGGTGGTTTTTGGTTCCGGCGAAGTAGAGAGGGCAGCAGGTCGACGAACCCTCCTATGGTAAATAGCAGTTGTAGTTGTAGATGGCGTGATGTAGAATTTGCACATGTAAGTCCTCCCTTCCATATTGACCACAAATATCCTTCCCATCTCTCTCTACCACAACTACTTTGTGCACAACCTCAAAAACTCTATTATTCTACCTGAAATTCATTGAAGTTTCAAGCTGAAAATGTGGAATCCGCCGCTCCCCAAAAATCGCATTGTTTGAGGTGTTGGAATGGCCGGTGTTGACTTCCTGGCTGCTGTAGCTTCATTCCCCAACCCGGATGATAAAATTCGGAGCACCAGCTTTGAGGTTCAAGGAGGTGGTAACACTGGCAATGCTTTGATAAAACCCGGATGATAAAATTCGTCTTGGTCTTAATTCAAGGATCATATCTAAGGTTGCTGATGACTCGCATGGCGAAAGAATACTTGATGAGCTTGAAAGGGATGGTGTTGATACATCTTTTATGGTGGTGTCCAAAGGAGGAAACTCACCATTCACATATGTCATTGTTGACAACCAAAAAAAAAAAAAAAAAAAACTCGCACGTGCATTTTCACTCCAGGATATCCACCCATGATATTTGAGGATCTACATACCCAAATCAAAATTTTCTTCAACGCTTGGAGTAAATATTGTCTACTTAGATGGAAGGCTGCATGAGACTTCTTTGATTGCAGTGCAGGAGGCAAAGAGTAGGGGCATACCTATTATAGTTGATGCAGAAAGGTTAAGGGAGGGGTTGGGTGATATTCCTGACTTTGCTAGTTATGTTGTATGCTCGACAAAATTTGCACAGGCATGGACTAACGCCCTTTCTATTCCAACTGCACTTGTTTCCATTATCTTGAGATTGATGTCAAATGTAAAATTCGTGATTGTTAGTTGGGTGAAGATGGTTTCTTAATATTAGAAAGGACTGAAGCGGATAACCTCAGTTTGAAGAAATGGATGTAGCAGTGACCAATAGATAGAGAAATACAAGGATTAGAACATAAAAAGACAGAAAAACTCATCTAATTCACGGTCAACAAACGGCGTCATTGACGGAGGATCAAAACTGTCCAACGATCAATAATAGTGGCTACTAAGTGGCAATTTTTATTATGGAGGATGAAAAGTGTCAATGCCCCAATAAGTCTAGGACCAAAAATGGCATTAACTCTTGTATTCCGTGAGTCACAATAATAATATAATAATTAAATATTGTTCAATTCTATATTCTTCTAGGATTTCTATTACCATCATTAATTATTCCAAAATTTACCATGATTAAATAATTTGACCAATTATAAAGAAAGATTATTAAATAATGCACGAGACAATAGTTTAATTAAAAATTTTAAAAATTCATTAATAAAATATAAGGTTCTCATAGTTTTTTCTTAGAAACTCTTTAATAAAGTATTTTTTTTTTTTAGAAATTGGTGGGCTAAACCGCCTACAGCAGTTTGCGGTGAATATATCTCGAAAAAATACGCAATTTCAAAAAAACATTTGTCCAAAACGGACAACGGAGTCAAAAGTTATGCCTTGCCGAACTTTTGACACTTTACAACTGAAAAAAAAAATAAAAAATTAAAGGCCAGTTTAGCCGCCGAGGCGGCCGCTGAGGAGGCCGATTCCAGCCTTCCTCGCCGCGGCCAGCGACACGATTTTTGCAACACTGATATATAAAATAGATATAGATTAGAATAGGAATAGTATTACACTATTTTATAATATTAGAATAGAATTTTGACGCAGAATTATTGTATGAATGGGAAAGTAGAAATTAATATATTTTATTAGGAAGAGAGATTTTTTAGGAATTGGGCGGGAAGTTAAATTTCAGGATTTTGTTTTTAAATATAGTATAGATAGATTGTATTACACTATTTTTTAATATTAGAATAGAATTTTAACGCAGAATTATTGTACGAATGAGAAAGTAGAAATCAATATATTTTATTAGGAAGAGAGATTTTTTAGGAATTGGGCAGGAAGTTAAAATTTCAGGATTTTGTTTTTATATATAGTATAGATATAGATTGTATTACACTATTTTATAATATTAGAATATAATTTTAACGCAGAATTAATGTACGAATGGGAAAAAAGAAATCAATATATTTTATTAGGAAGAGAGATTTTTTAGGAATTGGGCGGGAAGTTAAAATTTCAGGATTTTGTTTTTATATATAATATAGATAGATTGTATTACACTATATTATAATATTAGAATAGAATTTTAACGCAGAATTATTGTACGAATGGGAAAGTAGAAATCAATATATTTTATTAGGAAGAGAGATTTTTTAGGAATTGGGCGGGAAGTTAAAATTCCATGATTTTGTTTTTATATATAGTATAGATTAACAATCAACTCACATAATTAAGTTGCGACATTTCATTAAATATTATGATAGTAAGAACAGTTAATAAAAAAATTACACAATAAGAACACTTATAGCAGGATTAACATCAATGTTTATAGTTGAATCATAATTTAGAATGTGATTTTGGAGGTGGAGGGTTAAGGATTGGTAATTATATATACTTGGGGTTATATTATAAATATAAAAATATTAGGTATAGAATAGAATATATACATACATAGGCCGGGCCTGTAGGCCTGAAGGCCGAGTCTGGCCTGTTTAGTTTAATATGCTATGAAATTGGCTCAAGCCTGACCTTTTTACTAAACAAGCTAGGCCTAACTAGGCTTTAATTAGGCCATGACATAGGCCCCTACAAGGGATCTGGCCTATTCCCACCCTTAAGTGGAGGTTCAAACCGACTGATGTTGAAGAATTAGCGGATGAATTGTGATTAGAGATAGAATCCCACTCGAACACAGAACTAGTTGGTTCTTCCCAAAATGCGTTGAAATGCAACACTTGACTAAACATCTAAGGGTGAAGCACTATTTTGGTGCAGGTCGCGAGAGCGGTATCAAATTGAGGCAAACTCTGAATACTAGATATGACCCAAAATCACTGGGGTCAAGGTTGGAAGAAAATTGGAAAAGGGCACGCTAAATTAGGAATTTTTGTCACAAAATTTGACAAATGGAAGATCTAGTCTAAAAATATGGTTCAACCCGCTCCAAAGACCGGATACATACCCACCGACCCGGCCCAATGATCAACGACGAGAAACCACTAGAGTTTAGAGAGACGGGGGCGAGGCCGTCAGGAAGCAAGGTGGCTTCAATGGCGTCGCCGCAGCATGTCAACGGTGAGTTCACGACACCATCCTTTCTACCGCAAGGTGCCATTCTCAAGCATAGGCTTCATACAGCTCTCTTCTGCCCTAGTTGTTCTCCACCTTTTTGCCGCCAGTAAGCGGCGGTCTTCCCCCACCTCACCTCGCCGCTCCACAAAACTCAACCTCCCACCGTCCCACCTACCTCGTCCAGCCCCCTTACCTTCCGACCTCCAATATCATCTGCATATCTTCCATATCTCCTTTATTGTAATTTTAATTTAGATTCTTTTGAGTTTGACTTGTCGGTTAACAAGGTTACGGAATCTCCTGCTTAAGATTACTCATTTCCATGATTAAATATTTATCGGGGGCTTTAGTCGCGGTTATTGCTTGGCTTTACATTGCAAATTTATGAGTTTGTATGTAGTTGTGCTGAAACCTACCTACAGTTACCTATGGATTGAAATTAAATAATTAATGGAGTTTCTGTGAATTATTTAGGTGAAGATAACAGTGTTATTGCGAATTCCGGAATGAGTTTTGAAGGTGGCTGGTACGTCCTCGGTCAAGATCAACAACAAATTGGCCCTTATACTGCTGCTGAGTTGCGGGGTGAGTGTTAATGCTTAACTGGTAGTGATTCAATGTTGGAAACTGATGAGCATTAGTTCTGTTAATATCCTACCGCTGTATACTGGAAATTTTGTAAGTCTGTCCCATAGTTTTTGGACTTGGGCATTAGGTTACTGCAGCTCTTTTCTTCTTCATTCCTGAGATGCTTTCTTTTCTTATCTCTTTTGCATGTTTGTATTTCTTATTGGCAATTTCAGTTCCACAAGTAGCCAATATGCATCTCTATCCAATGTTCAAATGCTCTTAGGAGGTAATGAACCGTCTATATATGCTTGTTTAATTCACCTGGACAGAGCATTATTCAAGCGGGTATCTTGTGGAGAGCACCCTTGTGTGGACTGAAGGGAGAACTGATTGGCAGCCGCTATCTTCTATTCCTGGATTGTTGGCGGATATACCTCAACAGAGCACTGGTTATCCAAGTATGTGTGACTAACTGTCTGGTCAAATTGCTAATTGAGCTGTAGACTTCATTTGAGGATTTATTTTGGTAATTGTTGTATTCTTTTTGGGCAGCTGGTGAGACCTCTGTTAATGATGAAGATGAGTTTGAGAAGTTTCAAAAGGAGGTCAAACAGGCTGAAGCAGAGATCAATGATGATCTAGACAGGCCTTCCACTCCACCAGAGGGTGAAGAAGAATTTACTGATGATGATGGTACTCAGTACAAATGGGACAAATCTCTTAGGGCTTGGGTTCCTCAGGTTGGCTATTTAAACCTAATACTGGCATAAGTGTTTGCTTTATGCAGCTCTCCTAAACAGTCAAAACATAGATTTTGGCATTTCTGTTCTCTGTTAGTAATTTTATGTTCATAATGTTATTTCTTTGTGTTGAAATGCCATTTTGAATAATACATATGCATTGAGATTTCTACGTGAAACTATACATAAAGTCCTATATTTATATACACACAAGACACAAGTGGGGCTAAGCCCACTACTAAACCTAGGGTTAGGGGTTTTGATATCATATTGAAATTGATGGATTGAAAGACCTAGCGGGTGGGAAAAGCCACTATTTCCCAGTTAGGTGGAAGCTATAAGTGTGTTACAATCAAAATAAAGATTGATAATAATAATAATAATAACAATAATATTCCGTTATTCACATTCTAAGGGTGGTGCATGCTTATATAGAAATATAATGGGCCTAACTGATGGTCTAGGTTAAAACTAGGGCTATGCTAGGGTTTCTAGTTTCTATATTTCAACACATTGTTATCTATACAACGTTGTAGCATTAACTATGTAGGTTTCATTTTTGTCTTACATGGGTGCAATAATTTGATGAAATGAAATGCAAATGTAATAGGAAACTGCATCAGAAAGAAATGAGTATGGTTTGGAAGACATGATTTATGTAGGAGAGGATGAAGTCTTTCCAATACCAGGGGTTGATGATTCTGCCAAAAAGGAAGTTGAGGATAATGGCAGAGTGGATGATTCAACGACTATACAAGAGAGTAAGGAGTCTGATGAAACTAAGGAAGCAACATGCAGTAGCAAGAGAAAATTGCCTGAGAAAATGTCTGAAAAGAAGGTTACTTCCTGCCATTCCCTATTTGTTTGGGTTTTCGTGTTTACATCATCTGTATTATCCTACTAGGTGTCTAGATGCCATATTTGCATGCATACCTGTTCAATTGTTCCTTTCAGTTGGCAGTTTCATTTTTTGTCTCTCAAATGCAAACAAGTTTAGTACATTTTCTTATATAAAATATTTTAACCGATTACCGTGGTTTCATTTTTTGATGCATTTGCAGGAAGCCAATAAACCTCCAGATAGTTGGTTTGAATTAAAAGTGAATACTCATGTATATGTGACAGGATTGCCGGAAGATGTTACTGTTGATGAGGTGAGCTGTATTTTGTTTTTGACACATGTATAATTATATATATATATATATATATATATATATATAGCAAATAGCATGTGTGTGTGAGAGAGAGAGAGAATGCTATTGTTTGTTGACTTGTTCAGCTGTTACAGCTTACAACTTTGATTAGAGAGCATCTTTATGAAAATGTGGCCTCTTCAGTTGGTCCATGTACTGTCCCTCGTACTAAGCAGTGGCTTTTCATGCAGATAGTTGAAGTATTTTCCAAGTGTGGAATTATAAAGGAGGTATGTGTTTCTGCATTTAATGCATGCAAGAAAAACTTTGAAGTTATGTTGGTACCAGTTAGTGCTTGTTTGGCCTGCAGCTTATTGGAGCTTTTCTGTTCCAAAATGCCATAAGGTGGGCCAAACAATGTATTTTACAAAGGTTTTTTTTTTTTTTTTGCCTCTTTTTCTGAGAAGCACCAACTTGCAGCTTCTTTGAAAAAGTTCTTCTGAGAATAGGAGGAGTTATTAACTTATATTTTTGTTAAATTACCCTCTTACATTTTAAAAAAGATTCTGAAATTTCTTTGTTTATAATTTCTTTGAAATAAAAAGAACTTTTTATATCTATTTGGTCCAAACATGCACTTAGTGAAAAGTAAAATCAGCTATGGTTACCCAATACCCAGTAATTAGGTTTCATTTTGTTGTCTTGTTCCTTGAGGAGTCCTGTGCGTGTTTTGGTAGGAGAGAACTATAGTTTATCCTTATAGTTATGTTTTATGTTTTCTTTGCACTTTTTACTGCATATACTTTATGTCCATCATATATTTGATGAAGTTGCATTGACCTTAGGGGTAGTAATTAGAGGGTTGTAGTTGCATTATTGAGGTCTGAGGATCATATTATCTGAATGCACTCATGCAGTCTCCATGGAATGGCATTGCTGTGCCCCTTTTGTTGTATATATCCTTCTTATGGGGTAGACGTACCATATATTTAACATTAATGATGTGCTATGGGCAAGTTTCTGCTTTTTTTGTCGTTAAGTTCAAAGTATAGCTTGATATCACGAGAGGCAGTATTTCTTTATTTTTAACTTGTTATTTTTTCCAAGTTCAAGTGGTCAGTATCTTAAAGGAATTTAGTCCTGTGAGTCTGTTATGAAGTCATACGGTGTAAACTTTACATATGTTTGTCCATTATATAGTAATGTAACACCCAGCTTCGTTTAGGCAACCTCCTTTGTGATTTTGGCTCATGCTGTTTGACTTTATTGCTGGGAGAATGGAGAACTCATAGGACTTTGTAATAGGCTATTAATCCTGATTAGCTCCTTTGGTTCTACTAAGTTAAGGTTATTTTAAAGAGAGAGAGAGAGAGAGAGAGAGAGAGAGAGAATCAAGCTCAAGACATCAAAAGTGGAGTATACTATGTTGCACTGCACAAACTTCTATTTCAGATGGACTTCATGATGTTGTATCATTGGAAAATGTAGGATATAGATACGAAAAAGCCTCGAGTAAAGATATATGTTGATAAGCAAACTGGAAAGAACAAGGGTGATGCACTGGTAACATATATGAAGGTTGGTTCATGCCTAGAATACTAAATATGGTTTGATTTTGTTCATTTTTTTTTTGGTCATTAATCTATTTTTATTTTTCTCCAAAATGCATTAGGAACCATCTGTTGATCTAGCCATCAAAATTTTGGATGGGGCACCACTACGGCTTGGTGACAAGATTCCTATGTCAGTTTCGCTAGCTAAGTTCGAACAGAAAGGTTCGAAACATGGATGCTATTCTTTGTCTTGAATTGGGTTTGTGCTTTATAATGATATAATTTGGTGCTTGTCACTATCAAGTTACTAAATAGAAAACGCCAACCTACTAATGTGTGTGTGTTGATTTCACAGGAGACAAATTCATATCCAAGCAAGCAGACAAGCAAAAGAAGAGGAAACTTCAAAAGGTCGAACAGAAGATGCTTGGTTGGGGTAGGTCATAGGTGTTTTCACATTCAGTTACCTAATCTTTATTAGCTAGAGTTGAACTACTTCTGGAAATTTCAATCTTTATTCTAAAATCTTTGACATTACAAATTATCTTAATTTTTTCTTTCTGACTGCATTAGGTGGTCGGGATGATGCGAAGGTGTCAATTCCAGCTACTGTTTTGCTTCGCTATATGTTTACACCAGCTGAGCTAAGGGTATTGTGTCTTCATCTAGCTTCCAATTTCTTTTCTCACTCTGGCTGCTTCCAACACTACTCTGTATCAAGGTTGCAAAACTCGGCCGCCTAGCCGCCTAGGCGCTAGGCGGCCCCGAGCCTTGGAGTTTTGGCAAAAACTCGGCCAGCCGCCTAGGCGGCCTGGGTGGCCAAACTCGGCCGAGTCGGTCAACTCGGCCAACTCGGCCGAGTCGACCGATTTCGTCCGATTTTGACCGTTTTTGACCGATGTCGTCTTTCATTAATTATTGATTTTAATATTATTATGACATTATGACTTATAAATTATCATTATTTCAATTATTTAGATGTGTTATTTGAGTGAACGTTGAAAACAACCTCATTAAAATTGTCGAACTACAAGTCTGTTACTATTTTTTTTAATTTTTTTGGTGCCCGCCTAGCGCCGCCTAGAATCCGCCTAGGCGCCGCCTAGACCGCCTAGGCGCTGCCCGGCCGCCCGACTAGCGCCTAGCGCCTACTGCAACCATGCTCTGTATAAAGATATCTTTGCAGTTTTGTGTGCATATGTTCTGTTTTGTTTATTTTCAAAGACACTTTCCAAAGTTTGTATCGTTTTTGCTATTCTTTGTCTAAACGCAAATCATGCAAAGCTTTTAGGTGTGCTCCTCTGTGACATTTACTATTGAACAATTTAGGAAACCTGCATTTGCTCCAAAGTATTGTTGTAAATGCGATCTGAAGTACATAAACATATGTTGGTTGGCCAAATATAACCAGAGGATGAAAGAACAAGGGGGAAGGATGTGAAAAGGGTGACTGGCTTCTGCTTCCCCAGTAGCCTTGGCCTGACATGTTTCTGAACAACTTGGAGTGCCCTTGTAGTCTCTTCTTAGATGGTCCTTGTTTCTACATCATCTAAAAGTATCTTTAAACAGCCAGATGATTCTAATTTATTATTTTTTCTCTAATTCTGGGCTTGTGAGTGTCTTTTACATTCCTAAAGATGGTCTAAAGTCAAGTGTTCTTGATACATAAACTATCATAGTTATATGTATTTTCAAATTTGTTTCCTTGTAAAATGCCTAGTTATTGACCACAGGCTGATGAAAATCTGCGACCTGAGTTGGAGGCAGATGTCAAGGAGGAGTGTGCTAAACTTGGCCCAGTTGATTCAGTCAAGGTCTGTTGGTTAAAACAATCTCTACTTAGTATATATGTGTTTTAGATATCTATCTGTACAAGGTTTGGACCGATCAATCTCACTATATCAGCTTGGCTGCTCTTTCAGGTTTGTGAAAATCATCCACAAGGAGTTATTTTGGTGAGATTCAAAGACAGGAAGGATGCCCGCAAATGCATTGAGATGATGAATGGACGATGGTAAGTTGACTTTAAATGGAGTTTTTGTTGAATTTGGAAGATGGAATGGCCTGGCGGGTGGAGAATAACACCACCCGCCAGTTAGGCGGAAGCAATGTGAAGAATCAAGGACTAGGAAATGTGTATAAAACTGAAATTATATTGGTATTCTCTGTGTTTCTGTATTAGAAACACAGTACATATATATACACAAATACATAACTGTAAGTAACTACCCATAACTGACACCTATTCATAAACAGACACAACCCTATAGATAAACCTAACTCTTTAGTTTTCAACAGTTTTGTCTATTCATTCTAGAAATGCCTCCAGCATCATAATCAGCCAGCCAGCCAGCCAATGAACTGTTGCTTTGCTAGTTGCTACCATTGGCTTTCATTTCATGCATCTCCTTGGCATAGAGAAAAAAGGAAAAAAGTGTCCAGGATGTTTTTTATCCTGTGCTGGCTGGCTGTTGTAACTTAATAATATTTGGCACATGTTTTGTTTGTGAAGGTTTGCGGGGAGACAGGTACATGCTAGTGAGGATGATGGTTCTGTAAATCATTCTTTGGTCAGAGATTGGAATGGGGAAGCTGAAAGATTGGAGAAGTTTGGCGCAGAGCTAGAAACCGATGATTAAGGAAGGGGAGGGTGTGGAGGGAGTGTGGGCGCAACTACCTACCCCACCCCATGTACAATGAAATTATAAATGCTTGCTTCTACTTGGCTGATTATGTAAGATTACTAAATTTGATACACAAATCCTTTAGACTCTGAGATGTTGTTTTCTTACAGACAAGTCTCCACTGCTAGCTCTCTATTTTTGTTGCACGCCAACATGCATGTAAACTGAGTAGAAAACAGACCCATCAACCTTTTTTGGGATAAAGTACAAATAAGCCATTGAACTATTTGAGAAAAAACAATTAAGTCATCGAACTCAAATAACTTCCAAATAAGCCATTGAACCCAGAAAAAAAGAGCAATTAACATTTTTAACAGGTTAACTTCAGGTTTTTACTGACTGGATTGTCAAATGTTTATTTTATTTACGTTTTTTTATTATTATAATCCATCTACATAGTAATATATTTTAAAGTAATTATAATCAAAGTAGTTTTGTCTTGTCTAGATCTAATTTATTTATTTATTATTATTATTTTAAACAAAAGATCTAGTGAAAAAATAATAATAAATAAATAAATCAAATCTCAACAAGATAAAATTATTTTGATTATAATTATTTTAAAATATAATACTATCTAAGTGGATAATATTAATAAAAAAATAATAAACGTAAATAAAATAAACATTTGGCAATTCAATTAGCAAAAACTTGGGGTTAACCTATAAAAAATTTTAATTGCTCTTTTTTTAAGGGTTCAATGACTTATTTGCTTTTCTTTTTTTTTTTTCCGGGTTCAATGGCTTATTTGATGGTTATTTGAGTTCGATGGTTTAATTGTTGTTTCCCAAATAGTTAAGTGGCTTATTTGTACTTTATCCCACCTTTTTTTAACCCCCCCCCCCCCTCAGTAGTTTTGTAGTTTTGTGAAGCAAAGCTAAGCTACCAGTTTTGAGGCTTATTTGCAGCAGCCTAGTCCTCTTGGTTTGTTTCACCCATTTGATACTGTGATGATGGAGGGAGGGGAGATGCATGTATCAAACCAAAAGAGAACAAGACAAATTAAATGTGAATTCCAATAATTTTATTATTGATGAATGATAGGATAACAACATATATATTATATACTAGTAACTTTTTTATGTGCGATGCGCAAAAAATAGGTGCCCAATATTAATACATTATATTACAATTTTAAATTTATTTAGATTTTAGATATTTAAATTATTCTAAATAATAATAATAATGTAAATCATCTTTATAAATTTGATATTTATATGTATGTAATAATTAACATATAACTCAAATATTTAATGTGTATATATTATATATTATTAATGAAGAAGATAAGAAAATATATGGTGGATGCATGTGCATGGTAACAATAGTGGAAAAGATAACGGAAGTTATAACGGTAGGGGTATGTTTGTCCAAAATATTTTAATGTACAACCTTTATAGCATAATGTACAAAAAAAACTTAACGAAAGAAACGGACATAAATCAGGGGTATAACTTTCATTCACACTTATTATGTTTTTAGATTATATTTCACCACTCATGGGGTGCTCAATCGTTATGCCATGGAACCGTGTTCACCATTCATGGTGAACACGGTTCCAACGGTGTTAGTACACCGTTATCTCTTCTTTTTTTTTTTCTTAATTAATTGCGTGACTTTTCTTCTTCATTTTCACATTTCGCAGTTTCACTTTAATTTGAGGTGAGCAATGATTTCGGATATTCATAAATTATGAATTCATGCCTGCACATTCACTTTGGAACCATGCCTACACATTCCCGTCCGAAATCACGGACATTCATAAATTATGAATCCATGCCTGCACATTCACTTTGGAACCATGCCTACACTTTCACTTTGGAACCATGGGATTATGAATTTTCTGTTATAAGATTATGAATTTTTAGTCATGAGATTATGAATTTTCTGTAATGAGATTATGAATTTTATGTTATGAAATTATGAATTTTCTGTTATGAGATTATGAATTTACATTACATTCATAATCTCATAACAGAAAATTCATAATTTGATCAAACACGCGCCATTAACTCCACATCCACGAATTTTTATTTATTTTTTTTTGCGTAAAAACGACGTCGTTTGGACTTGTGTTCACCATTCACGGTGAACACATTTCCAGGGCATAATTTGCGTAGGGTGCTCATCCTTAGCTTTAGCTTTATATACATTCTTCCAAAAGGTTAAACCCCAACCCAAAGGGCCTTTAGCTTTCTATACATAACACCACGCTTGCCTGGCGTCTTGAACTAATTATATACTACTAATTCAAAGTTTTGACTCTTGTAAATTAACCTAGTGACCTGCCGATTTTCCTTGTCACCCAAATAATGAACTGAATGAAATTAATGTACAAGACAAATAGAATAGAAAAGATATATTGTACTACTACTAAAAAAAAAAAAAAAAAAAAAAAGAATTTCACCTTTCAGTCGTGCATATATAAAAAACACGACCCCTGATCTGGTGCAGTGCACACTGATCTAAGTTATTGAACCTATCACTTTCCATATAGGAGTGCTGATCTAAGTTATTGAACCTATCACTTTCCATATAGGGGAGCAACGTGATACCATTGGACTACAAGGTCCTTGGTCTGATCTAAGCTATTTATTTACAAACACGTAATTAAGTCTAATTCTAATTAGAGACGGGATTACACAGAGTGATTAAGCTAAGCTTTTGTAGGGGCAGGGGCAGGGCCAGGGGCAGCTTTTTTAGGGGCATTAGGGGCAGGGGCATCTTTTTTAGAGGCATCACAAATTGCAGGGGAATTTTTGCCGGAGAGTGTTGGCTTCACGTTGTCACATTCCGATATGGCGCTACCGTTGGTTCCTTTGTATTCCAACTTCACCCCGCTCAGCACTACTTTGTTGCACGGTACTCCGGAGCTGCACAGTAATTTCACCGCTACCTTTGTCGCCGACGTCCCCGTTATCTCCTTGAAGCTAACGTCGCTGATCTTTATTTTCGACGGAACGCCGGTCTTGCATTGATTCCAAGGGCAGTATTGCTGATCGATCAAGATTGGGTTGCTGACGTTGTCCATCGTCACATCTTCGAAGTGCATGCCGGAGGCGACGCCGTTCGGAGACGCCGGCCACGTCTTGATCCTAACGCCGTTGAGAGTATTGGAGAGTTTGCAGTGCTTCACCGTCACTCCCATCACCGGTTGTTCATTAGGGTATCTTCCTAAGCTTCCAATACTGATTCCGTGGCCGGGGCCGCACTTCACATTTTCAACGGTCACATTCTGGCAACCGTCCCCAAAGGAGATACAGTCATCGCCGGTCTTAATTTCAGCACCATCGACGGTAACCCCATGGGAACGACCGATGTGGATTCCGTCAGTGTTGGCGCTATCCCCCGGCGCCTTGATAGTGATTTTGCTCAACGTTAGGTTCTTGGCCTGTATCACATTCATGTGGAAAAACTTGCTGTCCACCGACGTTACTCCTTTCACCACCCCGTTCGTCAACGTACCAAAGTTGAGGTTCTATTTAAAAATATATGCATTCATTTGAATTCTTAATGAATAATAAACAAATAAAAGAATAGATTAATAATAAGAGACTCTCGATCGGATTGAGTACTTACAATGGGGAGGTTTTTACAGTTTCCGTTGAAATTCTTATTACAGTTGTTTATCTTCCAGGCGGCGGAACCCCGACCGTCGAAAGTGCCACCGGTGACCGTCAAGTCTTTAACCATGCTGAACAAAATCCATCCGTCTTTTGTTTTGAACGCAGTGGGGTCGGTTGGCGCGATAAAAGTGGCGTCTCCCGCATCAAATGTTATGGCACTCTTACAAGGACCTAGAAACCCAATCTGACCCACCATATACTTGCCGGCCGGAACTTTCAGCGTGCTCGGCGCCGCGGCTTTGCATACCTCACCCCAAGCTTTCTTAAAAGCCTACTCAAATAAACCACAAAATACAATCAAATCAAACTATATATATATATATATATATATATATATATATAAGAGAGAGAGAGAGATATATATATATAGTATTGCATATATGTTTGTACCGGAGCATCATCGCACTTCCCGTCGCCTTTTGCACCAGATTTTTTAACACTAACTTCAATACCCTGTACATTTGCTACAAGATATGCCACATAGAAAAAAATCAATGCAGCTTGAATCACCTTGGAACCCATCCTCTTTTTTTTTTTTTTTTTTTTTTTTTTTTATTAGATTTTTTGTTTTATTGGTTGAAATCCAGATGGGAAACTGAAATGATCGCCCAGAACTGATTTATAAGGTGAGAAGAGAGTGTGCTACCACAAATATGAACATAATTCTAGGAAAATTATGGTGGGTGCGTAAGTGTGTTACAAGTGTTTGGTTCCAATGGGATTTTTCACTCAGGAAGCCTAACTTTGTGGAACTTACCATTGATGTAAATATTATGACACACTTATTCCATGATTTTTATTTTGAATTAATTTTCGAAATGGTCATCCGACTATGATCTTTTTCTCAAATTAGTCCCTTGACTTTTTCTCTGTCTATTCCTTCATTACTTATGTGTGTGGCATGCAAATCATGTAAATATAATGAACATGTACTACTTGTGATTTACTCTGTATTATATTACTTGTGGCGTGCAAAGCTGTGTAATTTATATACATTTAGTGTGCTATTTGTGAGGCGAACATCAATTTTCATAGCCCGCGACATGTATGTATATACTTTAAATATTAGAGCTTGCATTAAGTAGATGGCTTCTTTTATGTAAAGATGAGAGCAGTCTTACAATTTTGGTGGCTGTGGTTTCGGTGGTCTCCAAAAGTTAAAATTTACTCAAATCATGCTGGTTTGGGTTTGCCTGAAGCAAACAAATTGTGAAGCAAAGCTAAGCTACCAGTTTTGAGGCTTATTTGCAGCAGCCTAGTCCTCTTGGTTTGTTTCACCCATTTGATACTGTGATGATGGAGGGAGGGGAGATGCATGTATGTATGTGTGTATGTATTCTTTGTGTTTCCTTCCTTGAAATGCTGATTTGGCTTTAGAGGGGGTTAATGAGTTCCCATTAAAACTAAAAACAAGCGTCCGTCTTGCTTCACACGAAATTTCAATGCAAATCACTCTTTTACAAAACCAAATAGTATGAATATATTTATTTTAGGAATAAGTGTCAAACAAAATATACCATTAAACTTTTGTACTTAATGCAATTAGATTATTGGGTTAATAACATGTGCAGTCACAATCCACAACAATTAAATAGATAAAAATAATTAAATAAATAAATTGTGCAATTTACATCTTTTTAATGTTACCATCTTGATCTGAATAAAAATGGTTTAGTTGGCTATTTACATAAAAAATTTGATTACTCTACAAGTTGGCTTGGACCAAGAAAATAATAATAATAATAATAATAATAATAATAATAATAATAATAATAACAATTATCTCCTCATCCCAATCTAGAGACAAGACGGCCGTACATTATGCTGTGAAAACGTACACAGGGATAGATCTATAATTTCTATACTGTAGGTTCATAAATTTTTTTATTTTTTATTTTGAAAATGTAGATTAATAATTTTGTTTTTCATTTGTTGTTACAGATATTATGAATCTACAGTACATAAATTATGAATCTACAGTATAGAAATTATGAATCTACAGCTTATAAATTATAAATCTATCCCGTTAACAACAAATGAAAAACAAAATTATGAATCTACATTTTCAAAGAAAAAAAAAATTATAAATCTACAGTATAGAAATTATGAATCTACCCCTGTGTTCATCATGCACATGGTGAACACGTTTTCACAGCATAACTATTGCAAGACGGCTAGTGAATGCCTCCTTGCATGACTCTCTTCCCTTTTGTGTGATGGAGAGATAGTCATAATGATGATCTCCTTGTTCAAATATACCTTCCTCAAGTAGTCATGCTTTTTGTAAAAAAAAAAAAAAAAAAAAAAAGAATGATTTTTCTTATATGGCATGTTTAATTACCAATTACTGAAAACGTGAAAATTTTACTTATTATTCGATTTTTCTTAACATATTTGGCCTTATTCGAAAACTTTTATTTATAATATTGTACATCCTTATCATTTACTCTGTACTTTTGTAGTATTGCCTTACTTTTTCATAAAAGTATGTTTTTCCATTTTTTTAAATTTTCATTTCCAGCTCAATAAAGAGACATCCGTTACAAAAATTGTGCCTAGTAGTCTACAACGGTCAGATTTGATTTCAATAATGTAATCAGATTTCAAATATGACCGTTGGAGCTCCACCTTTACTTCTTCTTCTTCTCCACTTTTACTATATATACATACCATCACTCCCATCTGTATTTCATTCATACTCAGTAAAGCAATTTCCTAGTTGAGCTCCTATTTCCCATCAACCTTCTCACTATATCTGAAACTCAGCAAATCTCTCGACGAAAAATGGGTCTGCGTCTCGGCGGCAACGATTCCAACTCCTCCGGGACTCAAAAGGCTTTCCTCTGCTGCAACTATGTTCTGCTGGGTGCAGCCTCCAGCTGCATTTTCCTCACCCTCTCCCTCCGCCTCCTCCCTTCTCTCTGCGGATTCTTCCTCATCCTCCTCCATGTCTTCACCATTGGCGGCGCCGTCCTCGGCTGCGCCTCCGTCTCCTCCGACACTGGCGTCAAGCTGTACGGAACTCGCATGGTGGCCACTGTCCTCACCGCCATCTTCCAGGGCTCCGTCTTTGTGCTCATCTTCACGCGCACCGGTGACTTCCTTGGGAATCTTAAGTCGTACGTGAGGGAAGAAGACGGCGAAATGATCCTGAGGTTGGCCGGCGGCCTCTGCGCTCTCATCTTCTGCCTGGAGTGGGTGGTGCTCACGTTGGCGTTCATCCTCAAGTACAAGGCCGCGGCGGAGACCAACGGCGTCGTTGCGATGAGGAGCGGCAAGGTTGTTCACGATGAGGAAGAGCTCAAGAACTGGCCATGGCCCTTCCAAGTGTAAAATTACATTTAAGGCCTCACCCATTTTAATATATTCACTCTTATCACTGTATTTATTATTTATTCGTTTATTTAATTTGGGAGTGTTAAATCTGATGAGTGGATTTTTGGGTGTTACGTTATATATCATTCATTCTATGCTGTAAGTCTGTAACCATTTCCCTATGAAATGAAACTAAATCTTGTCTTATAAGAAGCAGAGCACCAAACTTCATACGTACATGAAATACAATAAAACTGAAGATCAAAACCAGAATTCTGATAACATATACGGAGTATATAGGATCAAAGTAACAAAGAAAAAAAAAAAAAAAAAAAAAAAGCCTTGTGGATCCAGCATTACAAAAAAAAAAAAAAAAAAAAAAAAAGGCGTTCCAGGCTCATCGGATTTTGTTCTTGCTTTTCCTGCCTTGGAAGTCCATAAGCATAAAAAAAAAAAAAAAAAAAAAAAGTGGCAGCTCATTCGATTTTGTTCTCGCTTTCCTGGAGCAGTCCAGCAGAATTGGTTTTCTGGCAGGGTTGTGGGGAAGTTTCATTGGGATTGGTCGAAGGTGGCAGGCACCGTTTTGAAAAAAATGCGGCAATACTCTTTGTCCTCCCACTACTAACCTTTTCTGCAAAATGGACACAACTTTTAGCCACCCAAAGAAATTATCTTAGCTAGTTTGCCAAGGGTATGTATCAAGGTTTTACCTGGGGTCACTGATAACCCGAGTTTCACAAGAATATCCTTTTTAACCTGCCATCTGTTATCAGAGAAATCTGATATCTCCCGCACTTTGCTCCGTAGTTGGGACTTTGCAATGTGGGGAAACTTACTTTGCAATGACTCAACAACTTTGTTTATGCCATGCGAGCATGACCGGATAACAGATACCTGGAGGAGCATCAGTTTGAAATTTGTGTGAGCAGGGCCTCTCAATTAATGGTGAAGGAAGCACAAAATTTCAGTTACATAATGAAACAAATAATTAATGATTATGATTTAATCCCATCCCCCCCCCCCCCCTCTTGTGGATCTCATTACTATATGTTCCAAAAATAGAAAACTTACAACTTGAGGTAAATCTGAATCCTGCAGAGCAACTGTTGTTGCAACTTGTGAGGGAGCAACCATCTTGCTGTTTGAGGGGCCAGCTTCCTGAACCTCTTCATCCATATGATAACATGATATCTCTATCGATGGCTGACCAGGGAAGGAACACATCCTCAAAGCATGCATGCATAGTTGCTCAACTTTATCATTACCACTGACATCTTCATCCAACAATATTGAAGCTTTTTCATGCATAAAATTCAATATAACCAAGGGCTGATTTTTTCTAAGTGCATGCTCAGTTAAATTGTTGAGATACTTCTGCTGTCGAAGTACACTGAACTCTTCAGTCTGAGCTTCCTGCTTCGAGCTTGGTGAAACTTTTGTCTCCGCCACATCAGATCCAGTTTTGTCAACTTGAACCCCCTGCAGCACAGAGTAGATAAAGTTGGGCAAAATGGCAAATAATCACCATAATAAAAGGAAAAAATCTGCCTTTATTTAGCTAGGCCTAGACTAGATTCCTTCATTTTGTAATTGATTCCATCCATCAAAAGGAGGGTAGTTCTGGATTATGGGAATCTTTGAAGAAAGATTCTTGGGGGAAAATATTGAAAATGTAAAATGCTTAATGTAGATTTAAGATAAACATACCTCATCCTCGGACAGATATCCATCTGGGACAAAAAAACCATCTTCACTTTCTTCATCATCACCTCTAGCACATTCTTCATCTAAACTTTCAACTTCATCTTTATCACAATCTGATAGGCTTTCACCGGGTTCCTCCTGTGATATCAATTTATCAGTAAAAGAGAACCCTCATGAAAAAATCAAATCAAATGAGATGCTCAATAAAGCAGAAATACCTCTTCCCACTCCTCATCACTGTCTATCTCATAATCCAACTCCGGATCCTTCTTGAAAGGGCAACATGGTCTAATTACTTCACTGGTAAGAAGAAAACCATAAATACATGAGATCATAGCAACACTTGGCAAGATCAGTATAACAGCTCATGTAGTCAAAAGCAACATTTAAAGTAACAAAGTTGCAAATTCAATTTATCTTCATTTTTATCCTCATAACTGGCAAACCATCATCAAAATGACATTTAAATATAACGCTTTGATGGTAAAGGCCCTATGCATCTAAAATTCACAAACAATTAAGCAATAAGATAGCGAGTTCCACCATATTCAATCATGTCATAATCAATAAAGCAAATATAGATATGGAACTTTTTATGCCCCAACAGAGAAATAAGGAGAAGAATAGAAATTGTTCCAAGCTAAGTAAGAGAAAAGCTCAATAAGAGTTCACTGATATTTCATTTAGGAGCACTACCATGTGTAAACTTCTCAACAGTCACAGTCAAATAAGGTGGTAATATGATAAGAAAACATAATACAAGAAGAAATTTGGCATGAATGGTGCACATCTAAATGGTTAAAGTAATTGTCTGGAACATGTGCGAGTGTGGAAATATGGTCAGTCACCTTTTCTTTGGCCAAACACCATAAAATGCAGGCCTATGACTCTTATCAAACTGCAACAGTTTTATCTTTGGTAATTTCTTCTGGCCAGACTGCGAACTTTTTGGATTCACATGGCAGGATGTGCTATCAGTATTAGAGTCAACCCATCTATCAACAAGCTTCACTACACTTAACTCATCATCATTAGTGAGTCCTTTGTTTGTAGTTAGCTTGAGCTCTTTAACAACTTTAGTTCTAGGCCCACGACGAATGCCCCAATGTACCTTTCCATTTGAACGAATCAGGTGACCCAAGCCATGCCAAGAATTCAAATGTGATCTATACAGTAACCAAAAAAAGTAATTAATAGCAATTTCATTAAGAAAATTAAATAGCAAAAACAGCACTGTCAAATAGAAATGGCAAATTTACCTCCATAGATCTTCAGCATTTATTCCATCATTGTGTGAAAGGATAGAGTCCATTGATGTAGTAACAGATTCAAGCATCTTGTCCCCCTTGTCAGAGGATAAATCTGGCATCGTACTGTTCAAAGAAAGATCACTCTGAGAAGGTGAGCTACTCTTATTCTTTTTAAGAAAGCGCTCCATGAGTGAAGCTTGTTTTTGTAAAGCAAGTTGTTTTTTCAACTCAGATTCTTCTTTCTCCTTGCGTCGCTGATCTTTCTCAGCTTCCTCTTGTTGCTTTTTTAACTGTTTTCTTAGTTCAGATTCTTCTCTTTCACGGCGCTTTTCCTCTTTTTCTGCTTCATGTTGCAAGCGCTTCAGCTCTTTCTCCTGGTTAGGAAAAACAAAAACAAAAAAAAACAAAAAAACAAAAAAACAAAAAACATACTCAATACACATTAATTATGCATTAAACGTCCACGTGAAAATAAATAAAGCATAGGCTATAGGCATTATGTCAACACACATAAAACAAGGAGGACTTACACTCTGTAACTTTTCCTTTTGAAGTTCCTTGTCTACTCTTTTTTTCTCTTTTTCAGCTTCTCTTTTGCTCCTCTCCAACTGCTTGATCAAAAACTTCTCGCTCTTTGTCTCCTTCTCAGCCCTTTAGAAGTTAAAGAAATTGATTAAAAATTTTGGAAGTCAAGCATACAAAATACCATAACAAGACAGCTGCTAATACACACATTTCAGCACCGCTTTTTTGTTCAATGTTGTCTACTAATAAACGTATATCTGCTTCAGTTAAGACTTTACAAAGCTTTTCTGAAGCTTTCATCAGCTCTTTGCTGCAATTTCCATGACTTTCTGGTTTATCTAGAGCAGCTAACATTGCTGGGAAAATCAAAAGAAAGCATTATGTTAATAAACAGAAGCTGAAGCAATAATCAATAATCACCAAAATATAATTGGGTTTGGTTCCAACTTCTGAGACATATTAATCAACTTTTCCGTGTAAAGAAATTTTAAGAAACAAGAATACCAAGCTGCCGCTACTTCTTTCTGACAAATAATAACACATTCATCGATGCTACATCATTTTTGGTGGTAATTTGGATATAGATTTTCCAATATAACACTAAAGAATTCCCAAGTAATTATTGAAGAAAAAAACTGAACAGCTCACAAAGTTTTTAAAAAATGGTAAAATTTGGTGAATCAATATACCCAGTGAAATGATCTAGCATTTGCACATTGGCATTTGACATTCATTACTCAATGAGAATCCTCAAGCAAGAAGAACCATTAGTACCAAAGAGAACTTATAGCATAACCTATTGACAAGAGTAGAAAATAAATACATAGTGAGATGCATTACATTAATAACATACCTGATACCGCAGAAATCCTCTCATGTATCTTTTTCCGACAAGTTCGCCGGATTCTCAGAGTAGGACGCACAGACTTTGGCAACAATTTAACATCCCTTGTCTGCACATCAAGAAGAGGCAGTTGTAGATGTTAGTCATTCAGACACAGCACATTGTACAATCAATAACAAAATTAAACAAATCTGCTGATGAGAATAACAAAGGTTAGTAAAATGGTTATTGAACTTCCACAGACCACAATACCAAATCAAGTTGCTGAAATAGGTAATCAGCAAATTTTAGGTAAGGAAACATTAAATAGGTACAAAATAAATCTCCAAAGACACAAATGAAAAACTAGACTACTTAACAAACTAAAGGGAAAAAAAAAACTACTAAAACAAGACAAAGAGTACTAAAAATCGAATGAATATGCTAGTAATCAGATTTGACGTGACTAAGGAAAGAGACTGAAATTGAAATTTACCTCCCAGCACCAGAGGGCGGTTTCTGACTCATCCTCCAAGACATCGGCGTCAGCGCTAGGTATTCCGTAGAACAATCTTTGCCCAACCAAGATCACAGCGCTCTTGACACCGGCTTTACTAATACTCTCCACATTGCTTTTGACTCCATCGGGCAGGGCATTGATTTTCGCAAAAATCTCATCCACTAACTTCGAGAGCGGAAGACTGCTCTCCTCCATTAAGCAAGCAATCGTTGAATTCATCGAGACGCCATGCATAACACTTTCCACATTTTCAACCACTCTGCTCTCCATCACCTCCCTATAATACCTGAACAAACCCTCCGTTTCTTCGCGCAACGCCTTGATTTTAGCTTCTTTCTCTTCAGGACTCTCCCATAAGGAAGAAGATGCCCTCTTTCTCTTCAATGTCTTCTTGGCGGTGACGTCATTTTGAGGATCTAGACCCTTCGAACTTGCCACATCCACAACGTCGACTATCATCGGCTCCGCCATCAGTCAAGAGAAGACGATCAACAACTGATGGATACCCAAAACAAGATACCTTCCGGTTAAAATTATAACTATCTGCCGGATTTTCTAGTGGAAAATCGAAACCCTAGAAGAAGAATCAAGACGAAACGTCTTTGAGAAGAAAATCGAGAGGAATATGAAGTGAAAATAGAAGAAAAATAAAAAGAGTGAAATGAAACCCCCCTTTTCTCGGGGACCGAACAATTTACGCCTATTTTATATTTTTCCATTTTTCCTCAATCTTCCCGCCAGTATTTGGCGAAAATGGAAAATCCCCGATTTCAGTTTCGCGGCGAAAAATTGTCCGCGCGGCAATATTATGGGCCGAATTTGGTAGCCCACTCACATAGGCCCAATTGTTGGTGACCATCCCTTAATGGGCTTCAAGGGCCTGTTTCCAAATATTGCGTGTAAAATTTTAGAAGGACCCAGTTTTGGAGATCCAAAATAGTTCATACGTGGACTCGACAAATTATATCGGGCACCATGACGCACAATGCATTTTGCGCCTTAGCTAAAACGACATCGTTTTGTATCTGTTTTTTTTAAAGAAATTTTGTTTTTTATTTCTATTGTTAACTTCAACAAAAAAAAAAAATCCATATTTTGAATGTACAAAATGGCATAGTAGAATACACATAAACTCATAACATAATACATAATACACATAAACTCTTAACAGAATACACATAAACTCTTAACATAATATACATCAACTCTTAACATAATACACATAAACTTTTAATAGATAAAACAACATCGTTTTGGGCAGGGTGCACAATGCGCCATGGTGCATGATATAACAATTGCATAGACTCTCAAACAATAAGGGCCCGTTTAGTTCGGGGAAAATATTTTATGGGAAATGGAATTGAAATTCCATATAAAAGCAATTAATAGGAATATAAATTTCATTGTATAATTGTTGATGATTGAGATGAGTTAAATGATCTTTGAAGCATTATGAATGCATTTGGAGTCGATGGGAGCCAATGTGAAGCTAAAATCATGGCTAACATATGTTTGATGTACATAGACAACGAATGATTTTTCACTTGTTTTGATCATATATACGGACAAACCAAGGCTAAAGTCAAGTAAAAGATAAAGGCATTGCAATCATCGCACAACATGTCCATTACTAGTATTTTGACAAGATCTCAATGTATGAATGTCCAAATCAAGTGACTCTTACGCCATTGTAAAGGACAAATCAAGGGGCTACAAATTGCATGAAGATCATCAAGTCTAATTCTAATGTTAAAATTGTCAAAATAATAAGGAAGACATTATGCCAAGATGCACGAGCGCCTACGTGCCTATGTATCCGCCCATGCGCCACTAATCTCCAAATGGTTTTCTTTATGTTTTCTACACGAGCACCTACCTGCTCGTGTCTCAACCCGTATAGCTATCACATGTTCACTATGTGCTGGTTACTTTTTTGTCTGAAAATATGTCGGAATGTCGCCGGATTTGCAATGACTTGGGATAACAGGTCATTTACCTGTATTTTGACTTCATTGCATCAAAATACATTGTTCAGGGGTTTAATTGCTTCTTAAAAAAGTTGGAGGGCCTAATTGACTTTTGAGCAATAGTTTGAGGGCCTATTTGACTCTTTTCCCTTAATTAAATAATTTAGATAATATCAATATTATTCAAAATATATTCAAATATATTACTCCGTCTGTTACACTTACTACTCACGAATCAAACTAACTTTTGCTTTTTTCTTTTGTTTTTCTTGAATATTTTTACATATTTATTTTTAAATTTGATTGTTTGTGTTTAATAGTACTTTTAGTGTACTTTTTAAATATATAAATTTTGCATATTAATACTAAATTTAATATTATAAAAAAATAGATTAAAAATAACTCCAGTCAAATCACCAGGACTATGTAGTCTAATGGTACTCGAATTTGACTTCCATATGGAAGATTATGAGTTTGAGCCTCAGTAGAGGCGTTATTGGTTCTCTGTGTTTCAGTAGGTAAAAAAAAAAAACTTAGGAGTAATATTTAAAAATAATCATCTTTCAAATCTTTAGCCTCAACACCCCTATATGAATACGTGGCGAAATCCATGCCTATCAAGAGAATGTGCATGTAAATCCAAATTAAAGAAGATTTTTTAAAAAAATAAAAATAAAAATTATTTCGTATATGTGGGTGTGGTTGTGGATGGAGTAGTTGTCGCTATAAGAATATCGGGCTGGTCCGGCGCATTGTGGATTGTGGTTGAGAGAGGCCATGCATCCCAGCGCTAACGGCCACAAATTAAAAACCGGCTACCTATTCTCTTCCACTCATTATTGCCCATGGAAATATATAATATTCAAAGACGTAGCTGCAGCCTGGAAAAGCATATGCAATATGCAAAGCAATTCAATAAAATTAAAGGGATCGAGATCGATATATATGATGAACCTACTAGTCCCGTGAAGGTGCATATTTTGTACCACCTTTTTATACACTTTCAGATGATTGCATGTGTCATAGGGTGACGTCTGAGCTAAAAAATAAAAATGGATTAGCTTTTTCAATTCCCTATTTTCAAACTTTTTTATGCTTGACGTGTATTATATTCATTCCGTACGTGTATATATGTTGAGAAAGACTTCTACTACTTGTACTCCCTACATTTTATTCCGAGCGGATTCTGATAAGTTACTTTTTTATGTGAATTTTAATACAAGTGTCTATATCAAAATTTTGTGTTTGAGATAACAAGTTTGAAGTATAAAATGGGAATACATGTAGCACTTTTCGTTGAGAAAATGCCATGCACCCTTCAATTTTCTTCAAATATGACCCTAGTGCATACACCGAGAAAGTACACACAATTTGCGTACTTTTCACAACTACAATTTGCGGCTTATTTACACAAAAAAGTATGTACAACAGATGTAGAAAGTTCTTTTTGTACTAGTACAACAACAAACTCACACAATGGTGGGAGTATTAGTCCAAGAAGATATTACTTGTTAGTAGCACTTTATGATGTTCTATCCTTTCAAATAATAAGTATATACGATGTATGAATTTAATAACTAGCTTTATAAAAAATTATATATATTATATAGTTTTTATCATAATAAATTATAGAGAGAATATACTTTGTAAGATATAGATGGAGTAAGAGATATGGTATATTGGATGATCAAAATACCAGCCACACATCAAATTTGGAAATGGAATGAGACTCTATATTCTACTATCGCTCTCAAATTACTAAAGGGAAAATGTTATTGGCTTTCTCACGCAAGTATATCTCTAATCATCGTAAATCTGCAAATAGAATATCATATATAGAACAAAAAATATGAAAGCAAAGATTCATGAATTGTTGGCCGCATGTACACGGTCAAATTATGTTATGGAATCAAGGTGGATACGATTTTAAAACTGTTCATAATTATGAATATATAGTTCAAAAATTATGAACATATAGTTCTATAATTATGAATATCAAGTTGTGAATTATGAATATATAGTTCAAAAATTATGAACATATGGTTCTATAATTATGAATATAGAGTTGTAAACATAATTATGAATCTATAGTTCTGTAATTATTAATATAGAGATTTAATAATTTTGAATATGAAGTTCAAAATTATGAATATATAGCTTTAAAATTATGAACATATAGTTCAGTAATTATGAATATAGAGTTCAAAAATTATGAATATAAAGTTTAAAAATTATGAATATATAAATTTATAATTATAAACATATAGTTCAGTAATTATGAATATATAGTTCAATAATTATGAACATAGAACTGTGTTCATCTTGCAAAGTGAACACGATTCCACAACATAACGGCTCATGTACATGTTAGTTACACGTACAACCTAAAATATTTTTTTCGGCAATATGCTCATAAAACGTATCCAACATCATGTTTGAGCAATAATATCACATTTACCCTTTTTATTTCTATTAATTTAGAGAAATAACGGTTATATTTCATCTCATCTCATTATTCATTCAAAAGTTTGTCAACTTATGTCTATGGTGGCTATTTTGCAACGTTCCAAGCCTAGGATGCTAGAGTTGCATTAACTGCACAACATATACATTCAAATTCGCGACATACTTTCATACATGTCAATTGTCAAGATTAAAAATTTATCATTATGTTTCAAATTATAGCTAGTAGTAAATGTATAACTTTATTTTTTTTAAACGTGTGTAGCCGTTAGTGACATAGTTCTAAAACACAACAATAGAATCAACTTTTCAAATTGGCGCCCAACAATTTCTCTATCATTAAAAATCATGTAACCCTTTTATAAATTCCCTTGGCCCAGCAATAATATATCTATAGTTCAAAAACATATCAAATATCATATTTCAAAGTGAAATAAAAAAATATTGAGACGGTATTTCTATTCCATCTTTTAACTTTATTGTCTTTTCAAGAGTTACAATGTCATATAAATAATTATATTTAAATTATTCGAGTAAATAAACTAAATTTCTAATACTATATCTATAATTATAGACAACTAATTAAATTACCATATCCAAATCCGATTTTGCTCATGTCATGCATTGTCATATCAACCATTTAACTTAAACAACTTTCCTTATCATTCAACTAACCATTGGCAAAGTATATATATATATATATATATATATATATATATATATATATATATATATATATATATAGGGTCAGGTTCCTGTGAGGTCAGGTCTTCCCGTGCTGTCAGTGCGGCATACACCATTAGCTATGCATAAATGCACCATACACTGTTCGTAATACACCAATATGTGTGGTGTATTTTTTTTTTTTTTGTGGTGCATTTTTTGGCATTTCATTCTGGTGTATTTTCGAACAGTGTGTGGTGCATTTATGCATACCTAATGGTGTATACCGCACTGACCGCACGGGAAGACCTAACCTCACAGGAACCAAAATCTATATCTATATATATATATATATATATATATATATATATATATATATATGTTTTATATATCTCATATGAAGACAACAGGATTTAAAGTGTAGTAAGTAGAGCGCAACATAACAAAGTGAAACTGAGCAAGACTATGTTTGGCAGAGTTTATTTGGGAGCTTATAACTTAATTTAAGCTACTAATTATGAGCTATAGCTTAAAATAAGACTATAAGAGTTTAGTTTGGAATGCTACATATCTTTAGGTAGCGTTTCAAAATAAGCTAATAGCTTTCTAATTTTTTTCTATCTTTATCCGTGACATCCTTTACCTCACACTAAAACTTTTTCTCTTCATTTTTTAGTCTTTTTATATTTATCTGTTTATTAGAAAGTTAATTTTACCAAACACTTTTAAGCATAATATCTAGCTTAACAGCTCTTTAGTTTCAAGCTACTAATAAGCTATAAGTTCTGTTTCGTGAGGGGGGCTTCTTGTGCGCATTGTGCACCGGTCTAGCCTCTATGGTTCATGTTCAGTTGAGTCACCATGATTTACATCCTCCCAAATGCTCTGTCGGGCCGGGGTGTGGGGGGCCTTTAGGGTTGGGGTTCAGCCTTTTGGAAGAATATGTAAACAAACTAATTTAAATTTTATGAAGATATCATTTTTAGTCTTTTTACATTCATCAGCTTATCAAAAAGCTAATTTTACCAAACACTTCCAATCATAACAGCTAGCTTAACAGCTCTTTAGTTTTCAGTTCCGAACTTATAATTTTTCAACTTTCAGCTCCTAGCTTATAGCTTTTCAGCTAGGTTTGCCAAACAAATCCCAATAAGCTCTTATTTTAAGCTAGGAACTTATTTTGAAAATATTACCAAACAGAACTTATAGCTTATTAGTAGCTTAAAATAAACTATAAGCTCCTAAATAAGCTCTGCCAAACAGATACTTAATATGAACGTGTAAAGTGACCAACAATGATCATCCTAATTTCTGATGATTAAAAATGTAAATGTCTTTGTAATTGAATGACAAAAGAAATGGTTAAAAATATCATTCTAACTAAATGACAAAAAGTGGGTGAAAATGTCAATGTAACTGGAGTGATGTGGGGTCAGCTTATTAATGACACCCATGAGATTATATGTCACCTTTTTTTTTTTTTTTTTTGGAAACCAGATTATATGTCACCTAATGGGTGAAAATATTATGGGAAAATTTTAGATGGGAAAGGAGGGGGATATTGGTTATGGGCTAGGTTTACTGGGCTTTTCATTTGTGCTTAATTTGGCAATAATGCTTAGGGGAGGTAACAAGTCAATGAATGAATGGTGGGTCGACCCATCCGGAGGGTGTCGTCGATTATCAACGGTCGACCGTGAGGGGTCACGGCCGGGGCGCAAGCACCTGCCAGCGAAGGTGCGCATCCGAGCACCCCGCCTGCGCCCCCATTTCTTGAGGTGGAGTGGTGCGGCGGGGGGTGCCGCCAGCTATCGGCAGCCGGCCAGGCGAGGTCACCAGTCAGGGCGTTGGCGCGCGTCGACTGTCAGCCTGCCGCGTGCCTCCATAAACGCCCCGCTTGCCCGCGCCCCCTTTCCTGGAGGGCTGGTTCAATTGGTCAGAGTGGTGCGTTAGGTGTGGTGTGATGTGACGTGGTATGGTGAGTGGAGGAGGGGGGAAAAGTGGATCAAGAGTCGTACACGTGGACGGTGCAGTGGCAGGGGGGTCTGCTCTAAATAGGATGCCTTGCCTCTCACGAAGACATCATCATCTGGACACTACAGACACACTCGCTTAGTGGTCTCTGGTCTATACTAGTAGCATAGTTAATTATATTCTAGCTCATTCTTTGGGCCATAGCCTTTGTATTTGGACCGCCATTTTGGACCGGTACCTTGGACTTTATACAATTATTTGGTCCTAGCGCTCTAAGCAATAGTACTACTATTTTTCTACCCTCGATTTTATATATTTATACTCGATTTATGATGGATCCGGTCCCGACAAAACCATCAAGAAATAATACTTTTCTTTTAAAAAAAACATAATTAAAGTATTTGATATCACTATGTTAATCTGGATTCATCCAGTGCACATCAAATTTAACCCTTACTTAAGAAAGTATGACTCATTTCTCTTCAACATGGCATACAGACATGCTAGAGTTGATCATCCGATGTGTGTGTGTGTGTGTTTTTTTTTTTTTGTTTGACTGAAATTCCCAACCGAAATACAGTAGGACTCTAAGGTTAATCTTGTTCGTGTTTGATATAACCTCAAAGTGAGACCAATGCCATCTCATATAACTCCACGAATAACTTTTTTTTTTTTTTTGTTTATTTAGTGTTTTTTTTTTTAAATAATATCTACTTGTATATTTAACTGAACTTGTGATGAGATTCACCAATAATTTCTTTTTTCTTTTAAAAGATAGACGAAATTAGATGTTTTGCAAATACCACGTTAGGAATTGAAATAATGCGACATTGAAGTTATAGTAGCTAAGGTAGGAAAGAGGGAAGACATGCATGCATAATAATCTTTGGTGGCATGGAGGGGTCCACAAGAATATATTGTCCATGCATCGGTGTCGTCTTCTCGCAGCTTCGCTCAAAGGCCAGCCAACCAAAACTTAAAAAACAAAAATGATGCCGCCGATCGAGAAAGCCACTTGCGTAAAGTTTGCGATTTTTTCCAATCCGTAAGTGTGATGCATGCATTTTATCAACTTTTATTTACCAGAAAACTTACTGAATCAAATATCACTTATCCTTACAATAGGCAAAAGTTTATACCATGTACGTTAAAGGCGGGGGCTGAAATTCTGCTACTATACGTGTTGTAAAATACGTATAGATGCCAAGATATATATGCATATATATACTGATTTACATGCATGTAAAGATCCCAAGTGTGGGTATAAATAGGCGAGGAAGGGCCAGCCAGAAAGTGTTTCATAAGCATCAAATAGGTTGCCGGAGAAAAACAATATAGTATACTAATGTCGGGAGGAAGAGACCCACTGGTCGTCGGAAGGGTGGTCGGAGACGTTCTGGATCCGTTTACCAGATCCGTCGGGCTCAGGGTGATTTACAACAACAGGGAAATCAACAATGGCTGCGAGCTCAGGCCTTCTCATATCGTCAGCCCTCCTAGGGTTGAGATTGGCGGAGATGATTTTCGCACTTTCTACACTCTGGTAACATTTATTTATTTATTATTTATTGATTTACATTAAAGTCCACAACCATTACCTGAACGAATGTGCACGCGTTCTCGGGTGAAGATGGTTTTTGCGACCTAATTAGCTGGCAAAGAATTCCAAATAGGTTGCTCATCTCATATATAACTGATTGGTTCAAATTGAGAAGGTCAATAAGTGACTCCCTCAAGGAGCCAGTCGAATGGAACGGTTCCACTTACCAAGCCGGCCAACAACCAAATCAATTTTATTAGGATTGTCCAAAATTAATAATATAATATAGCGAGTCGAATGGTATGATTACCAAGCCGGACAACAACCAAATCAATTTGATTGAGGTTGTCCAAAATTAATGATTAATTGAGCGAGTCGAATGGTACGGTTACCAAGCCAGCCAACAGTCAAATCAATTTGATTGGGGTTGTCCAAAATTAATGATTAATTGAGCGAGTCGAGTGGTACGGTTACCAAGCCGGACAACAACCAAATTAATTTGATTGGAGTTGTACAAAATTAATTATATAATAGATGTTACAAATGGAACATGCGTTTTATTATATGTTATAAGTTGCATATATACTTATATATGCTTTTGGTTTGTAAGGTTATGGTGGATCCTGATGCTCCAAGCCCAAGCAACCCAAACCTGAGGGAGTACCTACACTGGTGAGTTAACATACAATATGTGTATATGTTTATGTGCATGTTAAATATGTTGTCAAATATACTAAGTAAACTATTTTGTCATCATGAAATAATAGATATATAATACGGAGTATAATTTATTATATAAGGTTTCATTTGGACGAAGTATTGATCGGCAGTTTTTTTGTTTTTTGAGTACTATTGACTCAAGAGATTCAATTCGAATCTGTGATTTCCCATTTATGAAAGTTATGGAGGTGCCATTGAACTACAAGCTACTTAGCCGAACTATTTTATCTAATTAATTATATTTCATATTTTGGTTTGAATATTTTTTATCCCATTTTGATGTATTTTAATTTTTCATCCCTAGTCAACAATATATAACATTGTTTTTTTTTCTTTTTGTCTTATTTCTTAATATTAATAGTGATATGAGTGATTTTTGATTTGTTTTCTATTCCAAATATTTTATCTAATTAATTATATTTCATATGTTGTTTTGAATATTTTTAATCTCATTTTGATGCATGTATTTTAACTTTTCATCCATAATCAACAATATTGATGGCTCAACTCTAAGCATTTTGTTGTTGTTGTTGTTGTTGTTCTTTTTTTTTTTTTTAATTTTTTTTTATTTCATTGATTTTCAATCTTTCGCTCCCACTGCGCAAAGATTAATGGATCCGTCTCTACCCACTACACTGCTAGTATTTGAAACATTGATTATAGTTATACATACATAAGACAAAACAATAATTCTCTTTAACATATATATATGTATTGCAGGTTGGTCACTGACATTCCAGCAACTACAGGAGCAAACTTTGGTTAGTCTTTCTTTCCGCACACATATACGTACACCTAATTACATATATAATAATATTAAGAATGAAATTCTGCACACATAAAATGAGTTTACCTAGTATATATTATACACATAGTTACGATTTTCTTCATCACCCAAATTAATAATACTAACATTTTACAAAGTCACAATGTAAAAATATAGTATGCCTATATATATAACGTTGAGCTACAAAAGTTAAGCTTGGGGCTAGGCCTAGGAACCCCTAGACCGAGGTGAAAGGCGTCAAAGCGATTGCTAGTCGGTCGACCGTCTAAGGGGCTAATTTTTTTTATTCAAATTGAGGTCTTTTTTATACGAATTGTTTTTTTTTTTTTTAAATTAAGCAGCGATCTAGGCGGTGCCTAGGCACTAAGCGTCCTGGCGCTAGACTAGCCCTTTGTAACATTGTCTACAACTAAAAGAAAGAAGAAGATGGAATTTTAAGTAATAACTTTTAATTTGCTACGGAAAATAAAGGTTTAAAGTATTTTATGTAGAAGATGGATGAAATATTTTGGTGCCTTTTAAAGGTAATTAATAATATTTAACTGGCAATAACATCCTAACAAATAGCATTTCTCCATATAGTATTTGAGAAACAGCAGACCTATACTAAATAACTAAATAAGTGGTGATTTATTTATTAATTTATTTTGTTTGGGACATAAAGAGAGACAAATTAAAGACAGCAAAAAGTTAACAATACTGATTATTGTGTGTGGTTTGTTTGTACGATAAACTTAACGGCGCAGGAAACGAGGTGGTCTGCTACGAGAGCCCGCGTCCGTCGATGGGGATCCACCGTTTCGTCTTCGTGCTGTTCCGCCAGCTGGGGCGGGAGACGGTCTACCCTCCGGGATGGCGTCAGAACTTCAACACCCGAGACTTCGCCGAGCTTTACAATCTCACTTCGCCGGTGGCTGCCGTCTATTTTAATGGCCAGAGGGAGAGCGGCACCGGAGGCCGGAGACGATGAATTATTATATAATGCGTAATGACGCACCCTAACCTCTCTCTATGTATAACATAACATATTATTATCGTATTTAAAGAATAAAATCCAGTCTGCACCCACATAGCTCAATAGTTTAGTAAATAGTATTTGGGAGAAAAATAAAATTCGACCCAAGTACGATAGTCATATGTATCGTCCTATATGTACGACTCCCAGTTATTAAACTCTTCTATAAATTACAAACTTTTATGATCCGTTTACTATAGGAAAACGATTCTCTGTTTTATGTTTTCTAATTTTCAGTTTTCATTCTCTGTTTTCCATTCTCTATTTCAGAAAACTTTACTAACAGAAAACTGTTAACTGTTTTCTGTTTTCTAATTTTTCAGTTTTCACTCAAAATTTGGTTTAGATAATATTAATATTTTTTAAGCTAATATTTAAATATATATTTTTTGATATATTCATTTGAATGAAATGAATATGAATATATAACTTTTACTTTGAATTCTAATATATGTGAGATTTCAATATTCGATATGTGGATCGAACTTGTATTACAATGTAACATAATTAAACATATTCGAACTAATAATCTATTGAGTTAAATCAAAATCTAAAACATTATATAGAGTTTAATTCTTAATTTTGATAATGTAAATAATGTCTAACTTTAAAGTGTAAGCAAATAAATTATGTTTAAATAAGTAAAGTAAGTATAAAAGATAGAAGATAGTGATAAGTAAAATAAGAATGTAATGAATGTAATCATAGTAATAATGTAATTATAGTGACATATAACTAAATAGATGATAGATGATTATGTTTTTCATTTCGAAAATATTTTTTAAGTGTGTTCCAGTTTTCCAGAAATTATTTTCAATTTTCAAAATAGAAAACTGTGTTAGTAAACATATTTTCTGTTTTCTATTTTTCAGAAATTTTCAGTTAGTAGATGATCCTTAGGTTTTGTATTAAAATAGGGCATTATTTTATTTCAATCTAGCATAAATATATCACTACTACATCATGCATATTATGAACGGGAAGCTTATTATAAGAAAAAAAAAAAAAAGAAGAAATCGTGACACTTGCTCTATAGTGAATAATAATTACTGCTGTTATTATCGTAACATTATCACAGTTACAAGCATATATTGTTAGGAAACGAAGAAGCTAAGCTAGTCAAATGGTAGCCGGCGGGCGGAGCTACTGATAATCAACTAACATATGTTCGATTAACGGCGGCGGCCGCCGGTGCCAGTTTCCCGTTGGCAGTTGAAGTAGACGGCGGCGACCGGCGAGCCCAGATTGTAAAGCTCGGCGAAGTCTCGAGTGTTGAAATTCTGGCGCCATCCCGGAGCATAAACTGTCTGCCTGCCCAGCTGCTGGAACAACACAAACACAAAACGATGGATTCCCATCGACGGTTGTGGGCTCTCATAGCACACAATTTCATGTCCTATTATACAAACAAACAAACAAACTCAACAAATTAAACATGTCATATCCTCATCGTCATCCTCGTCTTTATTATTAAAAAACAAAATAGAAAAAATTTAACCTTTGGTCTCTGACTATTATACACGAATCACATTTGACCCTTTAATATTATGTGCATAACTATGTAATTTATATTAAATTTGGTTTGCCAACTATTGTTGTAAGTGCTGTTTTGGAAAAGAGCATTGCATTTGCTTCTTCGGGAAGATACATTTTTGGAAGGAGCACCTTCTGACAAATAGTTGGACGAAAAATTGAACGACAGGACCAAATATGATGTAAATTAAATAGTCATACACCTAATTATAATTTAATAATTAAAGATAAAAATATAATTCAAAGGATAAAAAGTAAAATTTATTCAAAAGAATAGTACTGTACTCACCAAAATCAACTCCTGTGGTGGCTGGGATGTCTGTGACCAACCTATGGATAAACATGTGAATTAATGACCCAAAAAATAAAAAAGATTATTCTAAAATGTGCAGTCCACACAATTAGAAGATGAGATCAGAGCAGCTATGATGTACAACAAGACCACCTGCGACTAAAGATTCTCGTTTCGTTTCACTTTTTGTTTCAGTCTTTTCCGGTACTATGTTGCACGACTAGGAAACCTTGACTCCTCATTGGTGTTTATATTGTATGTGTGCATGTCATTTCTCAATATCTGTTTTGTAGGGGACACGTGGGCGAACAAGAGTTCGACACCGAACCCTTTGAAAAGTATCCTAGAATCTCTCTGATGTGTCTTGTATTCCTCTTCTCCCGCGTGTCCAGTCTTCTTTCATTTGCTACGGAAATGTCGGATTGGGGTCTTGTCACGCCACCATTTCAAATCTATGATTATTCCTCAAGTAATTTTACGTGTAATCTCACTTTTTACTTTTTTTTTTACTTTTTTTTTTGAAGGTAATCTCACTTTTTACTTAATTTACTCAATATCTTTTAATTCATTCAGTGATTCAGAATAGAATGATAGCTACATTTATTATATTTTTATTCGGGTTTTTCTTTTTTTGTCTCCTACTAAAAGATTGACATGATATATCAGTTTTATTCTCTAAGAACATCTAATCTCTATCAGTTTAAATGTTTTATTGGGTTTTGTAAAATTTGAGACCTAAGGTAGAAGAATGCGAAAAGGGGAAAAAAAACAAAAACAAAAACAAAAACAAAAAGCATAGGGTGACTATCAATAGACAATCATTCGATTTAAGGTATTTTTTTTTTAATGAGAGTCAAACCCTATATATAGTTTATACCTAGTGCACTCTATGACTCTGTTCTGTTGCCATTTTCCTACGGTGAGTAGATGACGTAAAAATACATTAGTAAATAGTTGGTTCAACTTTCACTTTCTTGAAGCTAAGGTTACTTTATACATGATTAAGTAAGATCAAAAGGCCTAAATTTGGATAGACATGATGTACTATCATGCATGCCATTCCCAATAATTCTTTGCCAATTAACAATATTGTTTTAATTGGAAGAATGTACATAATATTTATATTATACTGTAATTGTATATCTTAATCTCTTTTCAAAAATTTTCAAAAAGTAAAATTATCACTAATATAGTTTAATATTAGGCGACTTAATTGATAAAGTTCAAAACATGCAATTTCCATTATCAATCGAATATGTCCAAAATCAAAAGAGTAAAACCTTAAATATATATATGTATTATTATAACACATGGAATATAATGTGAGTAGAAAATGGAAGGAGTAAAAAAGGTGTGCCAATAATTACCAGTGCAGGTACTCTCTTAGGCTTGGATTACTTGGGCTTGGAGCATCAGGATCCACCATAACCTTAATCAGTCCAAAAATATAATGCATTAACAATTATATGAACTTGATTGGATAGAAAATTATCTAGCCGGAAATATTTTTCGAATAATTGAAAAAAAAAAAAAATCAGCAATCACTATTTAAGGTTGTGCATTATGTAAATTCTGCCTCGTGATTATAGCTAATAAAAACGGACCAACTTAAATCGAGAAGGTCAATACTGGTTATAAGTTAAATAGGGGAGTGGATATATATAATACTTACAAGAGTATAGAAGGTGCGAAGATCATGGCCGCCAACCTCAACCCTAGGCTGGTTAGCAACGTGAGACGGTCTGTAATCACAGCCGTTGGTGATATCTCGGCCGCCGTAGGCCACCCTAAGGCTTATAGACCTCGTAAATGGCTCCAAAACATCCCCTACAACACGACCAACTACCAGAGAATCTCTGTCCCTCGGCATTTCCCTAAGTAGTTCTAACTAACAGATATATATATATGCACCGGGCCGGGGGAGTGGACTATATATCTGTAAGTATAGCTCTTACTAAAATTATATCTTCCTCCCATATATATATAGCCCTCTGTATCACTGTATGTATGCTTACGTATATATATATGCAAGCACTACGTCTTGTTATATATAGATATATATATATTCGTGGATGACGGTCGGACTGCATAGTTGACGGTCATTCTGAAGAATATAATCCGTGCATTTCTCTGTCATATTTGGCAGAACATAGCTGCCCGAATCCTAGTATTTTTGTAACGTTGTCGAGTGTTGACGATACTCCGTATTGCATGTTTGTTAATTGTATTCAGTGGTGTAAGTAATTAGTAGCTGGCAAATAGAATGCAGTGTTGGGTCAGAACATAAGCATCACATCCATCATACAGAGCTTTAATTTTATTATTATATTTTTTTTTTCTTTTTTTATGAGTGAGGAGGGAAATCACAAATATATCTGAGAGTGTGTACGGGTAACGGGATAAATTTCATCAAACAGATAAATCTATTTACTGTTACTTTTGAGAGAAGTTGTAATGCATATAAAAATGTGATACTTTTAATGAAAAATATAATATTTTAGAATCAACATGTAATATAAGTGGTTGAAATGTTATTTATTGAATCAATTTATAATATTTTTTACAAAAAAAATATAATACTTCTGAAAAATTCTTCTCGTTCCACAGGTCATATTATAGGGGTTTTTGCCATTATAATAAAGTCGGGCAAAAAACTACTCTGAATATGTTAAAATACAATGTGATATTGTGATTGTTGGAAACGGGCATTGTACGTTTAGATTCCAGTGGAAAAGTCAATTTGTTCTTAAAAAAAAAAAACCAGTTTTTAAATCAAATTCTTGCATGGTATGATGAGTTGTACTAGTAAGTAATTATAATGAATATTTGGCAATTAACTGGTATTTATAACTTATTGATAGTGTTAGGTGTTTAAAATAGTTGCTGGTTATAGAAATGTTTTTAAAAAATTCTGCCTGTTTCACAAATCATCTTATAGGGGTGTTATTGTTATTATTATTAAGTAGAGCTTAAGGGTCTCATAAACCTGCCTCCAAGGTCAATAAAAAGATGAACCGAGCCATTTTAATTTTGTTAAAGACCTTGTGGTAAAGCAGTATAAATGTGCCTCTTCCAAATGGGTCTTTGTGCTTTAATAGTTTGAATAAGTATATATATATATATATATATATATATATATATATATACATACTACGTTTTACTAAAAAACATCAAATTCATTCTATACTAATATGCACAAAAGAATCCAATCCAAACCCAAACTTCCAATGTTCATGGCAAGAATTGAACACCACCCTACTGTTCTAAGTAAGTAGAAAATGAAACATTTTATCAATTGAAGCATATGTTCCATCTCAACTAAGCTTAAACTGATAGTTGGATTCGACGTTTATGTTTATATGCCAACATTATCCACTAGAATAATGCATGCTATGTGGACACCATTACACTGCTGAACCATACGTATAGTATATTTCTTTCCACATGTGATAAATCAATCAATCCTGGGAAGTCGATTTAATGTTCATCGCAGCAATACCAAATACTAAACAATTTCTTTTAATTTTGTCAAATTACAAATACACTGTTCCTTATATTTTAATTAGTATCTAATGTTTTTATTATTGGCATTATAGAATTTTCTTATAAATAAATTTTGGGTTCTATTTTCTGTGTTTTAACTTTTAATTAGTGATAGTCAAATTGTTAATATTCTTATTCTTATTAAAGCTATATCCCTTGTTTCAATGTGATACATTATTCCAGATTTTGAGTCGTTGTTATCCCGGCCAGGTAAAACTGTTGGGGCATGTTAATATATATGGTTGTTTACTGAAGTATATTCTTATTGTAATATATTCATCTGATGTCAAACTAGAGACGGGATGCTTTTATATATATATATATATATATATATATATATATATATTAATTTTTTATGCGTGATGCGTAAAAATATATGCCCAATATTAATACACAATGTTAAAATTTGAATTATATTACAATATTTTATAAAAAAAAAAACTGACACCCGTCTACTTAGGGATTAAAAAGTTAAAAAATAAAAATTACAATACCACATCGGTTTTGAAAAAAAAAAACGATATATCACCTATTTTAAAATTTTAAAGAAAAAACGAATAGTATAACCGACGTCTTATATTATTATTATTATTATTATTTATTTTTGCTATACGACGTCGGTTATTTAGAATAACCGAGGGTTAAATGTTCATTTTAAAATAATATATCTATTTTTAATTTTTAACGTCAGTTTCTCAAAAACCGACGTTATATATTAGTCGTTATATGTAATTTCTGTAGTAATGTGTCCAGATACAACGCATTTTTCTTTAAAAGATATGCTTTGTAAAAGTGGCCACCCAGCACCCAGGACTTATAACCATTAGCTGAATGAAGTTTGTGTGAAATTGTGGATTCTGTATCTTACCCATAAGCATCGATTACTCAATCGACAAATCAACATGAACTTCTTATCAAAGTCAAAAAAAGTTAGTCTTTTTTCACTTTTGAAATATGAGATCAAATCAAATGATTATATAAATCCCAAAACATCGAATTCTTGTTGTTCACATTCAAACCACAGGAGTTGTTCGGAATTTAATTCGTAATTATAATGGAAGAATATAACACCTTATCCAACACAACTTTTTAGTTTGCATGTGAACGTATTTAATTAAGGATTAATATTTGATGCACCGTCGGTGTATAGATGCTATGTACCGGCGGTGAAGGAGAAGATGCCACATCATCAAAAAATAAATTCAATATTAATCGGGTCCTTTTTTGCAAAATATCTAAGACTTGTACTTTATTAGGTAAGTCTTTTATTTCTAATTAACAAAATATATTTACTTTCCTAAACATATTTATTACTTGATTATTATATATCTAATTATTAATTAACAAAATATTTATTACTTGTTAATAATTAGATATATAATAATCAAGTAATAAATATTTTTATGAAAGTAAATATATTTTGTTAATTAGAAATAGAAGACTTACCTAATAAAGTACAAGTCTTAGATATTTTGTAAAAAAGGATCCGATTAATATTGAATTTATTTTTTGATGATGTGCCATCTTCTCCTTCACCGCCGGTGCATCAAATATTAATCCAAAGAATATTCCTTAACTTTCAGCCTAACAAAAGAGGATAGCATTTTGACATTCAACAAAATACTAGAAAATTAAAATATTTTCCGAAAAATGAATTATTTTAAAAATATATTTTTTAGGTTTCCAAATAAACGCTTAATGTCACACACATTATATTACTTTGAGTTGAGAGTAATGGGCTATAGAGTGCACATGTTTTAAAATATGTTGGATATTCTTCAAAAATAAATTTAGGCTATCTGCATCCTTTAAATACTACTAAGTTTTAAATGTGAGTCATACGGTTATATCATCATATTTACTATTAATTACAATGTTATTTTCATACTACTATTTCATTTCACTCTCAAAATATAATACTAAAAATAACATTTTACATTATTTATTACAAATAATAATATAATAATGATAACCGCACGAGATTGATGATGTCAAATTTGCAAAGACAACATATTACATATTTTGACTTGGTTGGAAAAGCAACAAAAACAAGTTTCCCTCTTGTTCTATTCATTCCATATCTCTCTTCTATTGAGCGGCTTTACTCTAAAATTGTTCTTTCTTCTAAGAAAAATGTTGTCGCTGATCCACATATAGTTGATAAAACTTCAAAGCAAATAGGTAACAAACAACGGCATACTGAACAAGCAACGTATGATGCACATGTGCAACTTAAAGGGAAGTTTTATCACTATTTAAAAGGCGTTAATGAATATATTAAAAACACCAAGATTTAAAAAGAAAAAATATATAATATTATGTGAAAATGGACATATCATCTTATAATTCACATATATTGTTGGTGATTCGATACTCTTATAACTTATAAGATATTTTATTATTTTTAAGCACTTAATTTCGTAAGCAAGCTAGCTTTCTAAAAAATGTAATGCAAATTTCAATGCCACGCGTAAATGTAAATTTTCTTAGGCCGACCATCCAACCATATCAATGTGGTAGATTACATTATTATTCCAACAATTTGATTATCTTATCTTTTAATTTATATAAATATTCGTGTGAATATTGGATTACATAGTTCAACTCCAATACTTTAGTATACTGAATTGGGTAAAACAAATTATTCATATATACTTATATAGCTAGAATAATCGAGTGCAAAATAAGCTTTTATTTATTCCTAGAACTAGAAAGTGAAGCCATTGGTTTTATTATATTCTTTGAATGTGAAACGTACCATATGCTTTTATTCTTCGAGAGTAATTAAATGATAAAATGAAATTTGGAAAATTGGCATTTCAGAATCTCTGTCATTTACTAGTGAGTGTTGTCTACGTAAATACTTCCCCTCATCTGTTGCTTTATTTATTGACATATTTACGGGAATCATATCTTAGGAGCATTGATTGTCAAAACTTTAGTTTAATTTGTTTTACCACGTGTGACCGGTTCGATGAATGAAAAAATATTAACAAAGATCAAACTTATAACTTTTTAATTTGTACACTAATTTAGTCACCCTTTCTTGATTATAAGATAGTGTTTCTTAATGACATGTAATATAGTGCATTAAAAAGTTTAGGGTGTGTTCAGGGACGGAGTCAGAAAATTAATTGAGTGGGGGCGAAGTTTAAATGACGATAGAAATGTCAATTACAAAATATCAAACCGGCATAATAAGGTTAAAATACAAAATACTTTATAAATTAAAATAGAATAGTTTTATAGATTACACAATAATTAGAGTCGGAGCTAAAAATATACTTGTGTGGGGTGAAAATGTAAAAATATGAAACATAATCTATTAGATAAAAAATTTTGAATAACACTATATTCGATCAT